AAAACTGAACGGTTGAATGTTACTTAAAACCTAAATCAACAATTGTCTTGTTGTGCTTGGAATGGTTGAGTTTGGTTAATTCAAAATAAACATGGAATATACTTTCACTTGAACTTTTACAAAACGAGCAAATATCATCATCAAAAAGTTTCATTTTATCCATTTGTTTTTTTGTATAAATAATCTTATGAATTAATTATTACTGAAATTCTAATAATTTACTGGCTCTTGTAAATTTTCTATATTGATTAAATATTGCTTTCCAAACCAAAGGGTCTGTTAGTTTTTGCCATTTATAGCATATATGGGTACATTACCAACTTTGAATAAGATATCATATATTGTCCACCTCCTTTACTTTGATTTGATGTTCATAATAGTGCCAGACATACTTAGAACACCTAAATTATGGAGGCCCAAACTGTGGGCGTTTTTCAACCTTGTCCTCCGTAATCAACAATTTGTTATAATCTAAAAACGTATCCTTAAATCATAGTAGGTGTAAGTGAACGTTGCTTCAGTAATGAAAGTGAAGGAGTTAATGTTGCTTCAATGATGAAAGTGAACGAGTTAATGTTGGTTCAATAATGAAAGTGAAGGAGTAAATGTTGTTTTTAGAATGATAGTGAAGGAGTTAATGTTGCTTCAATTATGAACGTGAAGGAGTTAATGTTGCTTCAGTTATGAACGTGAAGGAGTTAATGTTGCTTCAATTATGAACGTGAACGAGTTAATGTTGCTTCAATTATGAACGTGAACGAGTTAATGTTGCTTCAATTATGAAAGTGAACGAGTTAATGTTGCTTCAATTATGAACGTGAACGAGTTAATGTTGCTTCAATTATAAAAGTGAACGAGTTAATGTTGCTTCAAAAATGAAAGTGAACGAGTTAATGTTGGTTCAATAATGAAAGTGAAGGAGTTAATGTTGCTTCAATTATGAACGTGAACGAGTTAATTTTGCTTCAATTATAAAAGTGAACGAGTTAATGTTGCTTCAAGAATGAAAGTGAACGAGTTAATGTTGCTTCAAGAATGAAAGTGAACGAGTTAATGTTGCTACAATTATGAACGTGAGCGAGTTAATGTTGCTTCAATTATGAAAGTGAACGAGTTAATGTTGCTTCAATTATGAACGTGAACGAGTTAATGTTGCTTCAATTATAAAAGTGACGAGTTAATATCGCTTCAAGAATGAAAGTGAATGAGTTAATGTTGGTTCAATAATGAAAGTGAAGGTTCGATCCCCGACCGCGTCATACCAAAAGACGTTAAAAGATGGTACTTGTTGTTACCCTGTCTGGCGCTCGGCATAAAGGGGCTAAAACAAGGACTGGTCGGCTCGGAGTCAGTATACTGTGTATGAGTGGGGTATTCATGTTAAACTGCGGCATGGTATCTCAGTGAGCTAGCACTATAAATCGGCAGTCACATGCAGCCACATGCACTCACGTCGCTATAATCTTGGACGCGACGTTAAACCCCATTTCACATCACCTCACCTGAAAGTGCCTGCTTACACTTTGGAAAGAATGTAGGCGTGGATATAAGTTACACTAGTGCTCCCACGACCAACTGACCAGTCTCAGACGGGGAGTGGCGTGGTGCCTATTTCTGACAGGTGCGGTTTGTGGTAGATATTTTTGGTTTATGTCCAAATACTGCGCCCAACTTTACGCCGGAGAACAGTCCCAGATACGTGCTTACCTTACAGGCGATAAAGAAGTAGTTATCTATGTAATTATTAAGGAGAAGAATATATGGATGTAAACGTCTTGATTATAAGAACGCAACGTTTCGGAGTATATGCTTACTCCTTCACCAGGTGAATGAATGTCATGAGACAGAGAGCATGTATATGCACATGTGAGGGCAACAAAATTAATAAGATACTAAAAGATGGAAAATAACAAAGGGTGGAAACTAACAGGGGAAGCTAACAGATGATTGGCGCTGATAGGTGATTAGCAATATACAATGGAAGCCAACACTTTACTGTAATTAGTGCTGATATAATGGAAGCCAGTATCATAGATAAGTAATAGGTAATGGACACTGGGTAAACGGGAGGCCGGGGGTAATTAGCACTGATAGATGAAGAATGGAGATAGCAAAGGGGAAATTGATTAGCACCGACAAAGTTTAGTACCTCTCCCGACTTCTAGCCCCCTAAGGCAAAGATGCAAAATCCTTCATCAGCGACTCCTCCTCTTTCGTCAACCAGCTGAATGACGCTAACCTCACAGGCACCATGAACAGCTATGACGTCATCGAACTCTTCACCTACAAGAAGCGATCGACATCCTCCGCAACAAACTACATAATAGAATCAACAACCTGGACACCAAACTCACAATAGACAACATCATCAACCTTGTCTCCAGCTGCATTGACACATCATACTTCACCTTCAACGACATGATCTATAAACAAATCCATGGACTACCTATGGGCTCCACTCTATCGTCACTGAAATCTTCATGACATCCTTCGAAGAATCAGCCCTCTCCACAGCACCATTCCTACCCATCTGCTGGTACCGAAAAGTAGACGACACATTCACCACCAGAACGACCCCACAGAGATCCTTAATCATCTCAACGCCCAGCACCAGAGAATCTAGATCACCATGGAGACCGAAACCAATAAACACCTTCCTTTCCTAGACGTGTCCCTCCGAACTACAGATGATGGACTAAGAACATCAGCCCATGGACCGCACCCCACCCACCCCTACCCACCCACACCCACTCCCCACCAACACACACACAGACCAGTGCATCCACTACAACTCCTGCCACCAATCCCCAGATAAAACAAGCCATCATCGCCACCCTCACCCGACGTGCCAAATCCATTTGCCACGTTGAAAAACCTTCACCTACCACAACAGCTATCCTGCTCTCTGCCTCATGGCATTCATTCACCTGATGAAGGAGTAAGCATATACTCCGAAACGTTGTGTTCCTCATAATAAAGAAGTTGTTATATTCTCTTCCTTATGTGTATCACTTCTAAATGTCTTTCAAAGACCTATTTAATTATTTGTGTGTAGGTGTGAAATGTAAGAAATTAAATACATACAACTGTCAATCTAGTTGGCATTTCTTCATTTTGGTATTTCTGAAAGACTGGATGTTTAAGAAAAGACATAAGCATGAATGAAAGTATTGTCAATTCGGGTTTCCGGGAGCGCCAAGTTTGATAGTTAGGAGGAGATCTCCTCGTGGCGCTCCGGGAACCAGTAAGGGCTCTGACACGGATTTGGCGCTCCTGGTACCAGGCAAATAAAACTAGGACACATGTTTGTTTGTTGTTTAACGCCGCACTATTCCAGCTATATGACAGTGGTCTGTACATAATAAAGTCTGGACCTGACAATCCAGTGACTGACAGAATGAGCATCGATCCACGCAATTGGGATCGATGACATGCATCAACCAAGTCAGCGAGCCTGACCACTCGATCCCGTTAGTCGCCTCTGACGACAAGCAGTCGCCTTTTACGGCAAGAATGGGTTGCTGAAGACCTAGAACAAATTAGTACCGTTTATCAATTTCATTACCGTTGTTAATGTTTAATTAGTGCATGTAAAGTTAATATGTTAAAATATTCATATTGATATCAACGTTCAGTCCTGGTGAAGTTGTTCCGACTGAAATGAAAACAATATCACCATATCATAAACATATTTTCCGACCATGCAGTCGGATCAGATACAGAACATCAAGGACAATGTGTACCAACATTTATGAGTGACTGAGATTTTATGCCGTTTTTAGCAATATTCAAGCAATATCACGGCGGGGGACACCAGAAATGGGCTTCACACATTGTACCCATGTCGGGAATCGAACCCAGGTCTCCGGCGTGACGGCTTTAACCACTAGGCTACCCGACCGCCCCTCAAACATTTATGAAATATTCTTTCCAGGTTTTATCATGATTACTTAGAAACAACTTGGATAGTTTTCTTTATGTTTCTAATCTTGAGCTATTATAAAGTAAATTCATTTGAAATATGTATGTACATCTTATGATGGTACCGCTTCTTTGGAAGCTATTTACAGACCGCCGTCATATAGCTGGAATATTGCTGAGTGCGGCGTTAAACAACAAACCAACCAAACCAATCCTGTCACCAATACCCAGCAAATTTTACATGCGTATCCTCCATCTGGGGAATGACAGTATCACTGTGACGTCATGAGCTGTGCGAGTCACTGTGTAAGTCGCTTGACAGTGTCCATAAGACTGCGTCGGTACAATATGTGTGTGTATGTATGTGTGTGTGTGTGTGTGTGTTGTGTGTGTTTGTTTATAACGCACACACATTTACACATACACAAACACACAATCGTTTAGTCTACCTTGTGTAATGCATGCAGAGACCACCAAGCATTATCATATCATGTTTCGGTAAATCGCCATGTATGACGACATCCGATGAGCTCCGCCGTTCTTTTTGTCTGTTTGTAAGGCTGAAGAAATTAATTAACATGCGCCCTTTGTCGAAATCTTTATAGATCACAGTTAACCAATCAGTGTTCAAAAATGCGTAAAACCAGTCTCTGGTCACGTTCAGTTGCGTTGCGTATCATCCGGGTACTCACGGGGAAAAAACAATAACAAATGCGACAACCAGTCCGGGGAATTGCGTTAGATCAGTGCCCCTTTAAGTCAACTTTGTGATTTATTACAAATTAATTTACCTGCTGAGACAAGATCTACCTTTTCCGTTTCTTTATGTGAAAGCTTTCAGGATTTTACGTAGAATAGACATTATTATTTATTCATGATTATTACCTATGTATTTAATTCTAAGTGCACTTATTTACATGTTTATGGGATGTACGCATGATCTGATTAATTGTTTGATACATGAATCTAAATAGCTTTTGTCAGGGCTGCGGTCAAACAATTACCAATCAGCCATTTTGTTCCCTACTCTTCAGACTTGCAGTGGGTACCCGGGTAACAAATTTGGACTCGTCCTAGCCCTATTACGAACACCGAACTGTTGGTGCCACTACCTCATCACGTGTCTAGACGGAGTCATGCGACGACAAGTTGTGAAAATTTGCTGTGTCACCGCTATTCTACCAATCACAAGCCGTGTCGGTAAATCGTGCGAGTCCGGTATCTGGCTCCCCGTTATACCGCGATCAGCCGGTCGATGAGACACAGACAACACCAGCCAACAGCCACATTATATTTGACCAGCAAACTATCCGAACATGGCGGGCGATGTCAGGGTACGTGTTTTGCGTTGGGTTAATTGAATGACTGTCAGTCGGTTTTAATGAAGTATTTTGTAGTAGTATGTTGATATTACGGCCAAGCAGAGATATTAGCTTCATCGCATGGTTTTTTGTGGCTGTGCTGTTGAAACATCGCCGCGCTTGTTCACAACATTGGTGTTGATTTCGTAACGGGGAGCATCTCAAAATCATTTACACATTTATATTCATTAGCTTCTTTTCAATGAAATTTTTATATTCGTTGTGATTGTGTTTCTATGAATTTTAATAATTTTCAACCATAACAATTACATGGAGATTTTTATCATCGCCTTTTGTCCAGTGCATTATGTCTCAAAATATATTTGATCATAAATTTATATATATCTTCCTTTCTTACGGCTTACTCGATTGTGATCGGCCAGCCAGAGGTTTCAGATCACGAAAAGGAAGCTAATGTCTACATGAAAATCTTTCTCAATTATTGTCAGTAATCATTTAGATATTATTAATAATATTTAGGTTATGAGATGGTAACCTTAATAATCTTCATAATGAAAGTTTAGCCGATTTGTAAGTTGCAGCAAATAAATCACAGCAGCTGCTGGATAAACAAGTCAAACAATATCATTAAGTAATTCAAATATCACCTGTTGCAAATATTGTTTTATATATCTATAAACCAGAAAACATTTTTTGATCGTCCGAAATTCTTCGAGGAATTTGGGACCTTCTGATTGGTCAATAGCTATTTCTCATTTGCGAAATCTAATTTTTATGGCTATGCACTTTCTCAATCATTGTCAGTAATGAAGATCTGGATTAGAATAGGTCTTCAGCAACCGATGCTTACCCTAAAAGGTGACTATATGCTTGTCGTAAGAGGCGACTAACGGGATCGGGTAGTCAGGCTTGCTGACTTTGTTGATGTATGTCATCATATCCCAATTGTTTAGATCGATGCTCGTGATGTCAATCACTGGATTGTCTGGTCCAGACTTGATTATTTACAGACTGCCGTCATATAGCTGACATATTTCTGAGTGCGGCAATGAACAACAAACAGTACAAACAAACTTCATTCAAGTGGCACTCCATGGGTACAATACGTGAAGCCCATTTCTGGTGTCCCCGGCGTAATACTGCTGGAATATTTCTAAAAGTGGCATAAAAAATACTCACTCATGTGGGACTCTGGTTATTTCTTGGTTTACCACTTTTCCTGATGACTGTTGTGATCTGAATGACCATTGCTTTACACATACAAGTCGGCCTTTTCTTTCCAATCTATAACCTGGTATAAAAAAAATGTATCAAAACTTGTACGTTATGTATTTACTGGCAAAATCAACTTTTTAAAAATCACAACCTAACAATTATCCCTATTTAAGATCTGCGTAGTTTGTGCTTTCGTAAAATTATTGCCCCCCTAAGAAGGTATGTAGGACCCCCTCATTCAAAGTATATTTATATCTACCTAAATTTTAACTGCAGAAGATTTGTTCACTTAATCCCTGGCTAAAATTTCAACCATCGCCAGTAACTGTGGGGAACAATACTGGTAGCAGAGGTACCGTAAGTCCCCTTGGTCCCTAGTATGGAGTCCTTATGTTTGTTGCTGGTGATCTATAGCCCCATTTTTATGTCGTGTCATTGCCCAATAATAAGATATTTTTAATGTCATACAACTAGTTTTAGCCAGTCTGTGATGTATTGCTAGTTTTTATACTGTCCTTCGATGACACTTTTTAAAAAAATATTGTGTAATATGTTCAAGTCACATTATGGCAGAAATATTGCTGACATGACTTCAAATAACACTCACTCACTCACTCACTCACTCACTCACTCACTCGTGCTGTTGTTGACAATACCAGGTACCGAAGCTTTGCATGTGGGACAGTTGATTATGTGGCTGCTTGCTGCCAGAATAGGTCTTCAGCAACCCATGCTTGCCGTAAAAGGTGACTATGCTTGTTGTTAGAGGCGACAAACAGGATCGGGTGGTCAGGCTCGCTGACCTGGTTGATGCATGTCATCGTATCCCAATTGCGTGGAACGATGCTTATGATATCAATCACTGGATTATCTGGTCCAGACTTGATTATTTACAGACCGCCATCATATAGCTGGAATAATTCTGAGTGCGGCGTTAAACAACAATCAATCAATCAAATGCTTACTGCCAGCATCTTTTACCAACATGAGCTCTACTGCACATTGTCACACTTTACTGCAGTCCTCCATTCAATTAAAATGGATCCTTGTGTTACACACAGAATGCCTACTGTCCCCATAATGGTGTTCCACGGAATTGTCTTGTATTTCTTAAACAGTACCTGACCCTTGCTTGTATTGAGGGCATGTGACCTGAACTACCGGTATTCTGGTCTTCACGTACAGGCACTATCAGCCACCTGGAGCTGTCTGGCCGAGATAAATGTAAAGTAACCATGGTAACCGGTATTTGTTATTTTTCACAGTCACTGGGTAAGCCGGGTTACAAGTTTACGAACTGGGCAACAACCTACTCATGCCGCCCGGAACTGTACTTTGAGCCAGAAACAACGGAGGAAGTCAGACAGGTGTGTATTGTTGTTGTTTGTTTGTTTGTTGTTTAACGCCACCCTCAGCAATATTCCAGCCACACATATGAGTGAGTGAGTATGGTTTTACGCCGATTTTAGGAATATTCCAGCAATAGAAGGCAGGTGACGCCAGAAATGGGCTTCACACATTGTACCCATGTAAGAAATTGAACCCGGGTCTTCATCGTGACGAGCGAACGCTTTAACCACAAGGCTACCCGAATGCCCCACACATATGATGGTGGTATATAAATAAGCGTTTTTGGATCAGACTATCCAGTGATGAGCATCGATCATGGGATTGCAATATGATGACATGCATCAACCAATTCAGCGAGCATGACCATCAAATCCTGTTGGTCACCTCTTACGACAAGAATTTGTTGCTGAAATCCTATTCTAACCCAGATATCTAAGACCAGCATAGGTTGCTGGGGACCTATTCTAACCCGGATACCTAAGACCAGCACAGGTTGCTGGGGACCTATTCTAACCCGGATACCCACGACCAGCATAGGTTGCTGGGGACCTATTCTAACCCGGATACCTAAGACCAGCACAGGTTGCTGGGGACCTATTCTAACCCGGATACCTAAGACCAGCACAGGTTGCTGGGGACCTATTCTAACCCGGATACCTACAACCAGCACAGGTTGCTGGGGACCTATTCTAACCTGGATACCCACGACCAGCTTAGGTTGCTGGGGACCTATTCTAACCCGGATACCCACGACCAGCATAGGTTGCTGGGGACCTATTCTAACCCAGATACCCACGACCAGCATAGGTTGCTGGGGACCTATTCTAACCCAGATACCCACGACCAGCATAAGTTGCTGGGGACCTATTCTAATCCAGATACCCACGGCCAGCATAGGTTGCTGGGGACCTATTCTAACCCAGATACCCACGACCAGCATAGGTTGCTGGGGACCTATTCTAACCCAGATACCCACAACCAGCATAGGCTGCTGGGGACCTATTCTAACCCAGATACCCACAACCAGCATAAGTTGCTGGGGACCTATTCTAACCCAGATACCCACAACCAGCATAAGTTGCTGGGGACCTATTCTAACCCAGATACCCACAACCAGCATAGGTTGCTGGGGACCTATTCTAACCTGGATACCTAAGACCAGGATAGGTTGCTGAGGACCTATTGTAACCTGGATTCCCCATGGGAATGTAACTGGTTTCTATCCTCAATTGTTTAAATCCCAGTAGTGTGGTGTTAACGTCAGTATGATAGTTTCAACTTATGATAAGGACAACAACAATTATGTTTGTGTGTATGGATGTACCTGTCTAAAATTATGCAAACTTTGCTTTGTCTGGTTGATTATGTTTGGATTATCTCATGAAATTAACCCTGACATCTTTTGATTGTATGGGAAATAGAGAATCTCACCTGTGTGTCTTTTGATATCAAATATATCAACACGAGTTGATAAAAGTTGAAAAATTCTGAGGCTTGACGAGATGTTTTTCCGCTTTTATCAACAAGCTCGAGTGTTGATATATTTGATATCAAAAGACACGAGGGTGAGATTTTATTTATCATCCAACATCATTCTTCCAACCTTTTCAATTTGTAGACAGTAATAAGCAGTGTCTTCAATGTAAAAAGTACTGCTAACAGCTTCAGTAGCAGAGCCATTAGTGATGGCATTTGATTGTGACGTCATGGTAACCAGTAATGTCACTGTGGTCTGCAAAGCATTGTGATGTAATTTCATTGCAGCGATATCTACAGTGTAGATATCGCTTGATCTCATCCAAGGTTATCTCCTGTGGGAGCCAGTTTTGGATGATAAATGAGTGTGTTGCACTGGTCAATAGCTGATATATTTGCACAATACATTTTATTTCAAGATAGTTTTTGACCCCTTGAAATCAATTCAATGCAGACTGAGGTGAAGAAGTATACTGGTTGTCACAGTTTATTTCTCTTTCAAATTGCTGTGTTTCATTCTTGGAAAGTGGACATAAACAGTTTAATCATTATGTGCAGTGCAGAAGACGAGAATTGTGAGGCAGCATTGGAACTGTGAAATTTCAAACTATCACCATGGTCAAATGTAACAAATGTTATATTTGGGATTAAACTTTCTTAGCAAAGTACAGATTCTAGTACTTTATTGGTTTGTGTCCTGTCCAGGGTTTGAAATCACACTCTTTGAGTGACTCTTAGAGTGAGCACATGAACTAACCCACCCAGCTTCTGTGGCATCTACAAACATGAAAGTCCTCGGTGGCTGAGTGGGTTAGATTGCCAACCCAGACAGGACTCAACTCCCAAAAGTACTAGAATCTGTACTTTACTATGAAAGTGTGATCCCATATGTTACATTTGTTATATTTGACCACTTTGCACATTGTGTATTCATATTATCATGATAAATACCATAATTACAAATTTTTTGTAAGAATCTTTCAAGAAGAAAATTCTAGGTCAACTTCATTTCAGCTAACCAGCAGGCCCGCTTGTACAAAGTGATCTTAGCGCTAAGACAGTTGTAACTCCCATACTTTAACATTAACTCACAACAGTCTTAGTTGGGTGTCGTTCCACAAAGTGACCTTAGCGCTAAGACAGTTGTAACTCCCATACTTTAACATAAACTCACAACAGTCTTAGTTGGGTGTTGTTCCACAAAGTGACCTTAGCGCTAAGACAGTTGTAACTCCCATACTTTAACATTAACTCACAACAGTCTTAGTTGGGTGTAGTTCCACAAAGTGACCTTGGGGCTAAGACAGTTGTAACTCCCATACTTTAACATTACCTCACAACAGTCTTAGTTGGGTGTAGTTCCACAAAGTGACCTTAGCGCTAAGACAGTTGTAACTCCCATACTTTAACATTACCTCACAACAGTCTTAGTTGGGTGTAGTTCCACAAAGTGACCTTAGCGCTAAGACAGTTGTAACTCCCATACTTTAACATTACCTCACAATAGTCTTAGTTTGGTGTTGTTCCACTAAACTGACCTTAGCGCTAAGACAGTTGTAATTCCAACTAGCGTTAAGATCGCTTTGGGCATCAGGGCTCAGTACAATTTAAATCTTTGTTACAAGTATGATTAGTTTTGAGTGATTTTCTTCTAAACTTATTTACAGATACTGGCATTTGCACAGGAGAAAGGTAAAAAGGTGAAGGTCATTGGATATGGTCATTCGCCATCAGACCTTGCGTGTACCACTGATTACATGATCAGCCTCAGTCGCTACAACAAGGTAGTCAAGGTGAGTGTTCAGGGCCATCTTCCCCAGGCAAGGGAGTTAACTGACTTTAAAAGTCCAGTTTCCACCCTTGCCGAACTAGGCTGAAATTCCTGGGCTCGATCGTAGCGCCACCAGTGGCTGTTACAAATTAAGTCCCTTCTATGTCTCTCCTATGATTCCATAGATTCCAATCAGATTCCACCTCTCGTAGCACTTGCATTTGCTTCAAACAAAATGGTGGCGCCCAGTCAAGACGATCTGATCGATAATCAAGATCTATATATTGTGAGAAAACGGGTCTTACATCGCGAAGTGCATCAAATCACGTGAGCACCTTGATTAAACACTTGAAAAGATTTTGAAAATATCTGTTGTCAAAGAGTTGGCAGTGCACATGCTGTGCAAATCCTGCAATCGACCGAAATCTGCACGACAGTTTACAAACTGGATTTCGATTTCGGTGCGCGATTTTGATTGGACTATGCATAGACTTGTTAGTCCAGCCAAAATCTAACTCCATAATACCAGCCTAGTTCGGCAAGGTTGGAAACTGAACTGTTATAGTCAGTTAACTCTCTTGCCTTGTGAGGATGGTTCAGGGCAGGCCTTGGTAGCCCAGTGGTGAGAGTGTTTTCTTGCCTCATGGACGGGTCTGGTTTGAATCCCTTCATAAATACGGTAGTTCACTCTGGGTGTTTCTAACCACGATGTGATTTGAGTACTCTTCACTCTTTGCAAAAAAAGGAAATGTTTTTGTCTATAGTCACCTAGAGAAAATATCTATACTATATTAACAACGACGTCCCCTTCTGTATGATTTATTGCGCTTAGTTATGTTGCAAAATGATAAGATATCAATTTTTGAAAGTTGTACATCACGATAAGACATATTAATGTCATTAATGTCAGAAACGAGGTGGAGGTTTTGATTGAAAAAAATTGCAACAAGTCTTAGTAAGGCATGTGCGTGGTTGCATGTGTGCGTTTATAGTGCTAGCACACTCAGACACAGTATACTGACTCCAAGCCAACCTGTCCTCGTTTTATCCCCGTAATGCTGAGCACCAGAAAGTAACAACAAGTGCCACATTTAAACAAATTTTGGTACCAGGCGGCCGATCGAACCCTGACCTACAACTCTCCAGGCAGACACTCTGTCCACTAGGCCATAGAAGCAGTTTTCAAATTTGAACAAGCAGACCAAGAAACAGTTATTTCATAGCCTTGAATTAAATGTGCAAGGACCGCCAATTTGGCGATTCTTGTTTTCCTTCACTTTGACAGGTAGAGGTACCGGTATTGGAAAATAGTACATTTCCTCGTATAAGCATCATTTGTGAAGATCCGGGTTGGAATAGGTCTTCAGCAACCCATGCTTGCCGTAAAAGGTGACTATGCTTGTCGTACGAGGCTACTAACGTGAACAGATGGTCAGGGATGATGCATGTCATCATATCCCAGTTGCGTGGATCGATGTTCATGATATCAGTCACTGGATTGTCTGGTCCATACTCGATTATTTACAGACCGCTGCATATAGCTGGAATATTGCTGAGTGATGCGTTAGACAACAAACAAATCATTCGTGATACATGGAATAGAGGACTTGCTTTAACCTCATTGTTTCGAACAACTTTTACGTGAGTAATTATTGATGATGGAATTGTTTCATCATGTGTACCTGTATTGTTTGGTTGATCTCCAGGTTGACACAGCCTCTCTCCAGGTGATGGTGCAGGGGGGATGCCTGGTGCGGGATCTCAACAACAATATACTGCCTTCACATGGCATGGCCTTCAGTGTGTAAGTCAGATGTGGCCTTCAGTGTGTGAGTCAGACGTGGCCTTCAGTGTGTGAGTCAGACGTGGCCTTCAGTGTGTGAGTCAGACATGGCCTTCAGTGTGTGAGTCAGACATGGCCTTCAGTGTGTGAGTCAGATGTGGCCTTCAGTGTGTGAGTCAGATGTGGCCTTCAGTGTGTGAGTCAGACGTGGCCTTCAGTGTGTAAGTCAGACGTGGCCTTCAGTGTGTGAGTCCGACGTGGCCTTCAGTGTGTAAGTCAGACATGGCCTTCAGTGTGTGAGTCAGACGTGGCCTTCAGTGTGTGAGTCAGACATGGCCTTCAGTGTGTGAGTCAGACGTGGCCTTCAGTGTGAGTCAGACATGGCCTTCAGTGTGTGAGTCAGACGTGGCCTTCAGTGTGTGAGTCAGATGTGGCCTTCAGTGTGTGAGTCAGACATGGCCTTCAGTGTGTGAGTCAGACATGGCCTTCAGTGTATAAGTCAGATGTGGCCTTCAGTGTGTGAGTCAGACGTGGCCTTCAGTGTGTGAGTCAGACATGGCCTTCAGTGTGTGAGTCAGACGTGGCCTTCAGTGTGTGAGTCAGACGTGGCCTTCAGTGTGTGAGTCAGATTGGCCTTCAGTGTGTGAGTCAGATGTGGCCTTCAGTGTGTGAGTCAGACGTGGCCTTCAGTGTGTGAGTCAGTTGTGGCCTTCAGTGTGTGAGTCAGACATGGCCTTCAGTGTGTGAGTCAGATGTGGCCTTCAGTGTGTGAGTCAGACGTGGCCTTCAGTGTGTGAGTCAGATGTGGCCTTCAGTGTGTGAGTCAGACATGGCCTTCAGTGTGTGAGTCAGACATGGCCTTCAGTGTGTGAGTCAGACATGGCCTTCAGTGTGTGAGTCAGACGTGGCCTTCAGTGTGTGAGTCAGACGTGGCCTTCAGTGTGTGAGTCAGATGTGGCCTTCAGTGTGTGAGTCAGACGTGGCCTTCAGTGTGTGAGTCAGACGTGGCCTTCAGTGTGTGAGTCAGACATGGCCTTCAGTGTGTGAGTCAGACGTGGCCTTCAGTGTGTAAGTCAGACTGGCCTTCAGTGTGTAAGTCAGACGTGGCCTTCAGTGTGTGAGTCAGACATGGCCTTCAGTGTGTGAGTCAGACATGGCCTTCAGTGTGTGAGTCAGACGTGGCCTTCAGTGTGTGAGTCAGACGTGGCCTTCAGTGTGTGAGTCAGATGTGGCCTTCAGTGTGTGAGTCAGATGTGGCCTTCAGTGTGTGAGTCAGACGTGGCCTTCAGTGTGTAAGTCAGACGTGGCCTTCAGTGTGTGTCAGATGTGGCCTTCAGTGTGTGAGTCAGACGTGGCCTTCAGTGTGTGAGTCAGACATGGCCTTCAGTGTGTGAGTCAGACATGGCCTTAGTGTGTCAGTCAGACATGGCCTTCAGTAAGTTGGACGTGGCCTTCAGTAAGTCAGACATGGCCTTCAGTAAGTCAGATGCAGCCTTCTGAAAGTCAGACATAGCCTTCAGTAAGTCAGACATGGCCTTCAGTAAGTCAGATGCAGCCTTCTGAAAGTCAGACATAGCCTTCAGTAAGTCAGACGTGGCCTTCTGTATGTGAGTCAGACGTGGCCTTCAGCGTGTGAGTTGTGTCAGAAATTGGCCGGGACATGTCTTTTTGAGGAGCTGTGTGTACTAAATGTTCCTCTATGTTGATTAAGATCACTGTAACATGAACTTCGCAGTCTTGATTATACAATGATATTATTGATCCTAATGAAAACCAGTACAGATGATATTATTCAGTTTTACAACACAAAAATCCATGGCATGTCGGAAAAAATCTCAAAACAAAACTCCCAGCCTCCTTTTGAGTGTCTGTCATATGTTGAAGATAAAGTGAAAGCACTTCTTCTGTTCATAACCCAATAACGTTTGATTGTCAGATTGGGGACAGTGTCGGAGTTGACGGTTGCTGGTGTGATATCAACTGGAACCCATGGCACTGGCGCCAACTACGGCACCATTTCTTCATATGTGAGTAAAATTACCAATAAGTTGTCTGTCTTGTGTGAATGAGTGAGTGAGTTAGGTTTAACGCCCCCTTTAACAGTATTCCAGTTATATCACGGCGTGTCAGCTTAATGTGGGAGGAAAGCCCGTAGTGATGCAGGTCTCGGACGTTTACCACTTCCGTGAAACCCACAAGCATTGGTATGGAGCTGACAGACCTAGAAACATAATTAGGGCGAACCGGGATTCCAACCCACAATCATAGGTTTCTGGCGTGCTCAATGGACGCAACTCTGCACAGTGAATTGCGGCGCCTTAGACGACTGGGCCCCCCTCTTGTGTCAGAGTTGGACCTGTTTGGATCAAACCGTCACTCTCTGGCTAGGCTGCCTCTGTGGTTGAGTGGATAGAGTGTCTGCCCAGTGAGTGGAAGGTTGATGGTTTGATCCCCATACCAAAAGACGTTACAAAATGGTACTTGTTGCTACCCTGCCTAGTGCTTGGCATTAAGGGTACCTTGGCCACACTTTTTTAATTTTATGTTTCACAGATTTAGGCCAGTTTTTCCACACAAGGTCGGTTGCAATAAAAATAAAAATTATTGTCAATCAGTTATTTCTTTATATGAAAGTCTGCCATGGAGTTAAAATTGCAGGTGGCCCCTTGAATCACTGACAGTGATGTAGACACAATATTTATATTTAACATTTTGTATTGTATAAGAGGGTCTACATTACTGGTGGGACAAATAATAAAAGTAAATGTTTTTATTTCTTAAACTGGCTGCTAGACAGTAGGGGCTTCGGGCTAGGGCTGCGACGAGTCCATATTTACTGCCCGGGTACCCACCCCCCTATTACCCGACCCTACCCGGGTACCCACTGTAGGTCTCAGGAGATGTCTCAAAATGTCCGATTTGGAACATTTTTAGCATAGCCCTGGCAAAATGTATTTAGATACATGTATTAAACTTTCTGGTCATTCATACACTGAAGCTGAATTAAGTTATATCTTTATTCAACCATATTAAAAATCAGAAGGAATGGGTCCATAGTCAGAGATAAATGCAAACATTAGTGACTTGTAGTGTAACCATAGAGTTCTAGATAATTTTTGTCACGAAACAATATATCACGTGACTAACCCGGGTCCTACTCAGTACCCACCCGACCCGGGTACCTGAGCTACCCGTCCCAGCCCTACTTCGGGCCTATGGAATTAAAAATAGAAACTGTGTGGTCTTGTCAATGAGTTCCTTGCGAACTGTATGTCAATACAAATAAAGCCAAAGTGAAATAAATAAAGTCCTCAAGCTTTGCTACCTATGTCAATGTCAATGAGTGTTGATGTTTCATTGCTGCTAATTGTTTTTAAAGATAGTGACGTTTCTGGTAAATTTGAGGATAAGATAGAATAACCTCTAATGGTCTTATTGACTTCTGGAACTTCTGTTTAGGAGGTTCAACTTTCTAGTGAGTCAAAAGCACATGTCTGGTTTATAGCCATGTTTAATCAACTAAAGGGGAATAACTCCCAATGATCTACAGTACAGTGCTGGTACAACAACTAGCTATAATAACTGTGTACATAGCACTCTGGTGGAACACGCTATAATGTAAACAAATTAGATATATTGACTTACGGCTACATAACCTACTTTAAGATTAAACATTTTATAACCAACCCATGTATGACCAGGAAAGTGGAAGCCAGTATTGGGTCATGAAACATAACTGATGCAACAGTGCAGTCATGGTTTTTAATTTGGTGTTCAGGTTGTTGCCATGGAGATCATGACTGCATCAGGGGAGATTATTGAAGTTTCTGCAGAGAAGAATGAAGAGTTATTCCTGGCAACGACGCTGTCTTTGGGGAGTCTTGGCATCATCCTCACCGTGACGTTCCAGTGTGAACCAGCTTACAACCTCCAACAGAAACACTATCCCGCAAAACTAGACCAGGTAACAGGGAGTGGAGCAGTTTGCAACATAGTCGCCTGCCTACTAGCCTATGGCTAGCAAAATTATAGTTGGGCTAAAGATTTTGAAATGTCCTTAACTTGACTGTCTAATGACATATTTACTGTATTTTTTTATGCATGCCTCTTGATAAAAAATGTTCTCTCATTTCTGAAGATGAATATGACCATTTAAAATCAAAACTTAAATTTATATCCATGATCAAGGTTGCGAAATCAGAGTTACCCCCCTTCATAGTATTTGACTCATGATTTGCAGTTTGGGTTTTCTTAAGGGATAGCTTCACAGAATCAAATTTCAAGAAAATTAAACTGTTGAATATTTAAGTTAGTGAAATTTGAAACTTGACAGTGACTTTTAAGGCTAGCTAGCCCACCAAGCCAACAATATTTTTAGACTATTTCACACACTGGAGTGGAGGGGGAGAGAGTGGTCAGTTCTCACAAGTTTATACATTTAAAATTGTAAGGGTCAAGAGGTTTTAAGAATTGAATTTGAGCTAATATATTTCATAATTTAACAAAGCAACGCAAATAACTGAAATCTATTATTAATCATTTTCTACCAAAATAATTTTTTTGGTATTTATTTGCAAAACTAAATTATCTAAATTATTAAAAGATGAATATTTTATACCAACGAATAAATATTGTCTATTGAACAATTGCTTTACAAACACGTAACTGCTGAGATTAACAGCATCGTTTTGTGCCATTGATTAGAGCATTTTATTCAAATGTTGACCTCACTGAGCTGTGATTTATTCCAGGTGCTGGAGAATCTCAATACATACGTCACATCCTCCGACCACTTCCGATTCTTCTGGTTTCCTCACACTGACGACGTCGTCTGTTACCATGCAAGCCGAACTAAAGAGGTCAGACTTGTTCTTTGATGCCATGGTGGCATGTCCAGTAAAGTTATGTTCAATGACACATGTGTGTAAAAAGTGAGTTAAAATTAACGTTGAATCGGCCATACAGTGACCATCTGTAAAACAGGCGATGAGTGTGCTTCTTTATTGTTTTGTTTTCATGAAAACTGGCTAAAAAATGTAAGTTAATCCTGTTTATGTCACCTTGTGTTCAAAGTGTTAATAATAAATATTAAAGTGAGGATAGGTTCTGTCATAATATAAGATGATACTGACCGTGTCTAACCGCGGGCTCAGGACACATCTCTAGTTGGTCTGTGAAGATCCGGGGTAGAATAGGTCTTCAGCAACCCATGCCTGCCGTAAAAAGCGACTGCTTGTCATCATAGGCGACTAACGGGATCGGGTTCGTCAGGCTCGCTGACTTGGTTGAAGCATGTCATCAATCCCAATTGCGTGGATCAATGCTCATGATGTCAATCACCGGATTGCCTGGTCCTGACTCGACTATTAACAGATTGTTGTCATAGAGCTGGAATATTGCTGAGTGCGGCGTTAAACAACAAACAAACAAACATACAACTAGTCTGATTTATTTGAATATTTCAGGAGCCATGTGTGAAGGGGAGCTGGTTCAGGGACATGCTGGTCGGCTACTACATTCTACAGATCCTGTACTGGCTCAGGTAGTTTCACAGATCCTGTACTGGCTGAGGTAGTGTCACAGATCCTGTACTAGCTCAGGTAGTGTCACAGATCCTGTACTGGCTCAGGTAGTGTCACAGATCCTGTACTGGCTCAGGTAGTGTCCCAGATCCTGTACTGGCTCAGGTAGTGTCACCGATCCTGTACTGGCTTAGGTAGTGTCACCGATCCTGTACTGGCTCAGGTAGTGTCCCAGATCCTGTACTGGCTCAGGTAGTGTCACCGATCCTGTACTGGCTCAGGTAGTGTCAGACATCCTGTACTGGCTCAGGTAGTGTCACAGATCCTGTACTGGCTTAGGTAGTGTCCCAGATCCTGTACTGGCTGAGGTAGTGTCACAGATCCTGTACAGGCTCACGTAGTGTCACAGATCCTGTACTGGCTCAGGTAGTGTCACAGATCCTGTACTGGCTCACGTAGTGTCACAGATCCTGTACTGGCTCAGGTAGTGTCACAGATCCTGTACTGGCTTAGGTAGTGTCCCAGATCCTGTACTGGCTCAGGTAGTGTCCCAGATCCTGTACTGGCTCAGGTAGTGTCACCGATCCTGTACTGGCTCAGGTAGTGTCACAGATCCTGTACTGGCTCAGGTAGTGTCACAGATCCTGTACTGGCTGAGATAGTGTCACAGATCCTGTACTGGCTCAGGTAGTGTCACAGATCCTGTACTGGCCCACGTAGTGTCACAGATAATGTACTGGCCCACGTAGTGTCAGACATCCTGTACTGGGACTATGTACAAGGTAGTCAGCACAGTACCCAGTCACGTGGATTTCACCATTCTGAAAAACCACCTGCATCACTATATAACTGAAAACCTGTTCAAAGTGGCATCCACCCCAACCCCCTGTCAGGGGATCCGATGGTCACGGTTTGAGTAGGACAAGCACTGACTGACCATGCTGACTGTGTGTTAATATTTCCTGGTGGCATGAATCGATGCTCACATTATCGACCACTGATCTGCCTGGTCCAAGACCACTTTCAGCAAGGGCAACTCACGTCACTTTACCATGCCAAGCTTGCTTTGGTCAACAAACCCCTGCAAGATCGTAGCGGTCGTATCACTGTCAATGGATTCAAACCTGAGACACTCACTCACTCTCCTTCACAGCACGTTCCTGCCCCTCCTGGTGCCCTCCATCAACCGCTTCTTCTTCCACACTCTGTACTCATCCTGCGCTGAGAAGGTCGACAGGTCCGACAAGATCTTCAACTTCAACTGCCTCTTCAAGCAGTATGTCATGGAATGGGCCATACCGAGGTAAAGCTGCACTCATTTCTTCTTTAGGTTTTATACCAATAGGGATTCAAAGCAGGACAGGACCCTGCATGTTGTGAGTGCCGATATAGACTGGTGATATAATATGTGGTTGTGTCATCATTCTATGAAATAGCTGTGCTATGCTGTGCTGTGCTGTGCTATGCTGTTCTGTGCTATGCCATGATATGCTGTGCTGTGCCATGCCGTGCTGTGCTTTGCCGTTCTACGCTGTTCTGTGCTATGCTGTGATAGTTCTGTCCCTTAGGTGCTAGGATCTGTAAGAGTTCTGTCCCTTAGATGCTAGGATCTGTAAGAGTTCTGTCCCTTAGGTGCTAGGATCTGTAAGAGTTCTGTCCCTTAGGTGCTAGGATCTGTAATAGTTCTGTCCCTTAGGTGCTAGGATCTGTAAGAGTTCTGTCCCTTAGGTGCTAGGATCTGTAAGAGTTCTGTCCCTTAGGTGCTAGGGTCTGTAAGAGTTCTGTCCCTTAGGTACTAGGGTCTGTAAGAGTTCTGTCCCTTAGGTGCTAGGGTCTGTAAGAGTTCTGTCCCTTAGGTGCTAGGATCTCAAGCACCTTCGTTACACCCCTGGTGATATTGCTGCAGTGTGAATGTGGCCCGTACAAGAATCATTACAGATTGGTTCTAGATTGCAAACTTACAAAAAAACTCCCAACTTCTCTCTTACATTCCCTTAAATTCAAATTGACAAAGGAAATAATTTTAATAGCTGGGGGAAGAGTATTCGGTGTCACAACAGTCATCATTTGTTTGAAAATATAATGGTCAGGCACAGTGGAGATCTGTGACTAGTGGCAGCGATAGTATGGAGAGCTCCGGGAACTGACTCTACTAATTGTGGAATTAAATCTAAGGTTCTCCCTGAATATGATCCAGGGTTTGTGAGGTCACAAGCGTCTTGTAGAGTGATAATGACTTGCATCCTGCTCCACTTGTGTCATTCTCGAAATATGTTGTGATGTTGTGAGTGAAATAGCATCATTCACTCTGATCTAAGACTGCAGGAACTATGATTCTGATGTTGCCAGAGACAAGACGGCGGTCGTGTTGTTTGAGCTTCGGAACTGGATACAGCAGAGCAGGTTCCCGGCGCACTTCCCCGTGGAGGTCCGCTTCGTGAAGGGTGATAACATCTACCTCAGTCCTGTTCACGGCTGGGACGCCTGCTACATCAACATCATCATGTACAGGTAATTAAACACCTTGATATATAGGTAATAAACACCTTGATATATAGGTAGAGAACACCTTGATATACAGGTAGAGGAACACCTTGATATACAGGTAGAGTAAACCTTGGTATACAGGTAGAGGAACACCTTCATTTACAGGTAGAGGAACACCTTGATATACAGGTAGAGAAACACCTTCATATACAGGTAGAGGAACACCTTGATATACAGGTAGTGATCTCTCTGATATACAGTAGAGAAACATTTTGATGTACATGAAGAGAAACTCCTTGATATTCAGGTAGAGAAACACCTTGATATTCGGTTAGAAAAACACCTGTGTATACAGCTTAACACAAACACCATGATGTACTGGAAGAGAAAAATCTTCAACAAATTTCTATTGGTTCAGTTTTCCAAGCTCAGGTTAACCACCCTGGTGGTATAATGAATGAGAAGACCTCAATGTCATTTATTGATTTATCAATCTGATCTGTAATAAGCCAGTGTCCTCTTGGTTGTAGACCTTTCAACAAGTTTGTCCAGAATGACAAATATTGGACAGCTTTCCAGAAGATAGTCTCGGATGTTGGAGGCCGACCACACTGGGCTAAGGTATGAATTTGTTGTCCTCAAACACATAAAACTAAATATAAACTGAAATAGAATTAACATGCAATGTCACTTACAAGTTTCAGGAAATAATAATTATTTTTCTGTTCCCAGACTTTCTATGTTTGTGATTGATTTTGTCACAAGTACAATGTATGAATGATATTAGTTGTATGGACACAGCTCTCCACACAAAGGGATGGTGGAGTAGCCTATTTAAAGCGTTCACTGATCATACCAAAGAGCTGGGTTTGATGCCCACATCGGTACTGTGTGTGAAGCCCATTTCTGGTGGTCCCCGCTGAGATAATGCTAGAAAAAGCGGAGTAAAACAACACTCACTCACTTACACACTGTAGAAAAATGCCCATGTTTATGCTATTACCATAAAAACTGAACATATTTTCATCAGATTTGTTTTCTGCATTGCTGAATTGTTATTGCACAGGTTAAATATTCTATTTATATCCTTGCCGTTTATGGCTTTGTACGAGGAAACCTTTTTTCACTGTCATGTGTAAATAGGCAGACATATGTGATCGGCAACATAATCCAATTAAGCTTAACAGAATAATACTTCAAGGACATTAAAAGTTGACACATATTTATCTAATACCATACAACGCGAATGTTGTTGTGTTACAATCGATTTCTATAATGAGGCATCACAATACCCTATGATGTAATTTGTGAAATTTTGTTTCAAGATACACCGGCCAAACAATGCAATGTGATGTCAGCCTAGCAACAGGGTTGCTGGGGTCATTGGTTGTACATGTCATTGAATAAGCCCAGGGATGTTGGGAGTCAATCTTTCTCAGTTAACTAGTTTCTTGCAAAACATAAGCATGCATTTTGGTGTTAAGTTCTGTGTAATACAAGCTTATTTGGTCAAACAGTGGTATCTCTAAGGGGCGAGCAATAGTTCTTTCTAAGACACCAGTATTGCTGACTTCACATTGATATGGAACATCCAGTTACCTAAGTTTCAAAGTTGAAAGTTTTTCTTTCTCACTTTATGAAAAGGTTAATGTGAGCTACAGTGCCGTGGCACTCTTTGTGACATTTCTGAACCTGTTTTGTGATGTTGCAGGACCACAAGCTGGGACGAGAAGATTTCCAGAAGCTCTACCCAAAGTTTGAAGCTTTCTGTAAAATCAGGGAAAGCTTGGATCCTAATGGAATGTTCTTGAACTCTAATCTGGAACGTGTGTTTGGACAAAGCCCCTCTTTCACAAAAATTGTTTGATATAATGTATAACTGTATACTGATGACATATGCCTGTACATCTATTTATTCACTACAATATAGCCTGGTCAACTGTCTACATCCATTTTATCACTACAATATAGCCTGGTCAACTGTTTTCATCCATTTTATCACTACAATAAAGCCTGGTCAGCTGTCTACATCCATTTCATTCCTGCAATAATGCCTGGTCAACTGTCTACATCCATTTCATTCCTACAATAATGCCTGGTCAACTGTCTACATCCATTTCATTCCTACAATAAAGCCTGGTCAACTGTCTACATCCATTTCATTCCTACAATAATGCCTGGTCAACTGTCTACATCCATTTTATCACTACAATAAAGCCTGGTCAACTGTTTACATCCATTGTATCACTACAATATAGCCTGGTCAACTGTCTACATCCATTTTATCACTACAATAAAGCCTGGTCAACTGTCTACATCCATTTTATCACTACAATAAAGCCTGGTCAACTGTCTACATCCATTTTATCACTACAATAAAGCCTGGTCAACTGTTTACATCCATTTTATCACTACAATAAAGCCTGGTCAACTGTCTACATCCACTTTATCACTACAATAAAGCCTGGTCAACTGTTTACATCCATTGTATCACTACAATAAAGCCTGGTCAACTGTCTACATCAATTTTATCACTACAATAAAGCCTGGTCAACTGTTTACATCCATTGTATCACTACAATATAGCCTGGTCAACTGTCTACATCAATTTTATCAATACAATAAAGCCTGGTCAGCTGTCTTCATCCAATTCATTCCTACAATAAAGCCTGGTCAACTGTTTACATCCATTTTATCACTACAATAAAGCCTGGTCAACTGTTTACATCCATTGTATCACTACAATATAGCCTGGTCAACTGTCTACATCCATTTTATCACTACAATAAAGCCTGGTCAACTGTCTACATCCATTTTATCACTACAATATAGCCTGGTCAACTGTCTACATCAATTTTATCAATACAATAAAGCCTGGTCAGCTGTCTTCATCCAATTCATTCCTACAATAAAGCCTGGTCAACTGTTTACATCCATTTTATCACTACAATAAAGCCTGGTCAACTGTTGACATCCATTGTATCACTACAATATAGCCTGGTCAACTGTCTACATCCATTTTATCACTACAATAAAGCCTGGTCAACTGTCTACATCCATTTTATTCCTACAATAAAGCCTGGTCAACTGTTTACATCCATTTTATCACTACAATAAAGCCTGGTCAACTGTCTACATCCACTTTATCACTACAATAAAGCCTGGTCAACTGTTTACATCCATTTTATCACTACAATAAAGCCTGGTCAACTGTCTACATCAATTTTATCACTACAATAAAGCCTGGTCAACTGTTTACATCCATTTTATCACTACAATAAAGCCTGGTCAACTGTCTACATCAATTTTATCAATACAATAAAGCCTGGTCAGCTGTCTTCATCTAATTCATTCCTACAATAAAGCCTGGTCAACTGTTTACATCCATTTCATTCCTACAATAAAGCCTGGTCAACTGTCTACATCAATTTTATCAATACAATAAAGCCTGGTCAGCTGTCTTCATCTAATTCATTCCTACAATAAAGCCTGGTCAACTGTTTACATCCATTTTATCACTACAATATAGCCTGGTCAACTGTCTACATCAATTTTATCAATACAATAAAGCCTGGTCAGCTGTCTTCATCCAATTCATTCCTACAATAAAGCCTGGTCAACTGTTTACATCCATTTTATCACTACAATAAAGCCTGGTCAACTGTTTACATCCATTGTATCACTACAATATAGCCTGGTCAACTGTCTACATCCATTTTATCACTACAATAAAGCCTGGTCAACTGTCTACATCCATTTTATTCCTACAATAAAGCCTGGTCAACTGTTTACATCCATTTTATCACTACAATAAAGCCTGGTCAACTGTTTACATTCATTTTATCACTACAATAAAGCCTGGTCAACTGTTTACATCCATTTTATCACTACAATAAAGCCTGGTCAACTGTTTACATCCATTGTATCACTACAATATAGCCTGGTCAACTGTCTACATCAATTTTATCACTACAATAAAGCCTGGTCAACTGTCTACATCCATTTTATCATGCTGCGCTTGGTTACAAATTCAATTTAGCGCGGTTAAATCTACAGGTAACGTAGCTCTACATTGAAAAGACAGAACGTTTAGCTCCTAATTATGCAGGGAACAGGTTCCTTTATTCGTTCCTACAATACTTTATAGAAATGACGAACAAAGTCATTGTGATCAAGCAATTGATCACACCCAGTACATAGTTAAGATGTGTGGCAAGGCATGACGACCTGATGATGGTTGCTGAAGTGTGCATCTCTGGGGATATCCTCACTTTGCCACCACCTATTGTTCCCAGTATGAAAATCAGTCAGGCATGCTAATTGGTTAAACAATAGAAGGCACCAGGGGTCATCTCAAAATTTTGATATATGATATGCACAAAAATTTCATTATTTTATTCTATATAGCACTTCATATCATAGCATTAAATAACCTTACATTTAGCATTTTGATACATTCATACACATATTTACTGTGTATTTCATTATTTCATTATTTTATTCTATATAGCACTCCATATCATAGCATTAAATAACATTACATTAGCATTTTGATACATTCATACACATATTTACAGTCCAGTGAGATGTGACACTGAATCGGCATACTCAATGGGTGTTTTGATTTAAACAGTATTTTATTTCCATTAATGTTCAGATTGTACATTAAATAGCATTACAAAATGGAAAAAGGATTAGCAAACAGGCCAAAAAGGCCTATATTAATGCTTCTCCTAATATTGTACATTATACATGTAGATTGTAATGAAGTCAATAGAGCAGACATTAATGAGTAACACAACATGAAATAAAATGGAAAGCAAGATACCAAATGCATTTTATATTCTTAAGTTGACACAAAACTTACGTAAAGCGGTTTGTTTCAATGATGTAATTGTAAACTGATTTTATAATGTATTCATTGTCTGAGGAAGATGAATCTTCATTGCCGTGGAGTATAGTATGTATGCTGAGCTGGTTAACAAAAAAGTATTTATCAATTCTAAACTTGACATAGCGTGGACAAGATAGAAAAAAGTGGAAAGCATCTTCTCTATTTAGGCCACATGGACAGATGGGATTATCAATCAGAAATCTGTCAAATAAATGTGATTTTAAATCACTACAACCTAGCCTAAGTCTAGATAAAATCACCTGACATTGCCGCTGGCCATAACTAGCAAACGATGTAAAATTTATGGATGTTTTGATGCCAGCTAGAAGAAAGTCTTTTTCTCTTTTTTCTCCCTATACAAGGCTTCTGCCACCACGACTGTTGGGAATGAACTGAATATCCACCTGTGAATTTGCCATTTTGCAGTGAATGAACTTACTTACTTACTTTGGAGATTTAACGTGCGCTTTCCGAGAGTTGTTTAGGGTGTTGTATATGACGCAGCCGTAGTCTAGTTTTGATCTAATTAGTGATATGTAGAGCGAGAGGAGGGTATCTTTGGAACTTACTTACTTACTTACTTACTTTGGAGATTTAACGTGCGCTTTCCGACTGATGCGTATTTCGCACACGGGCCCGGCCAACCCATTTAATGTGTTTCCGAAAGGGGCGAAAGTGGTGTGGGCAACCCAAGAGGGGGCTTTATGGGTTGCTTATATAGAATTTGGGAATTTTGAGATTTGGAATAGATGCCGATGGGGTTGGGGAAGAGAACTAAGGGAGCTGGGTATGGTGGATGATTGTTTGTTTATGTGATTTTGATTTGGTAGGTTATTGTGTTTTTAGATGCGTTTTATTAGTTCCTTTTTGATTAAGATTACGCCTAAGGCCTTGAAGTTTTCTAGTTTATTTTGTGGGTTTAGTATTGATTCTATAGTGAGAGCCTTGTTTAGATTGAGGGTGGTTTGTAATGCGGTTCGATGTGTTAGGTAGTGTGTGCAGTGGATGAGTGCGTGTTCTGGGGTTTCTAGTTGTTTGCAGTGTGGGCAGTTACCTGTAGTGTGTTTTTTATTTTTTTTAGGTGGTTATTTAGGTTGGTGTGTCCTGTTTGGAGTGTAGTGATTACTCTGTCGATTGTTTTTTGATGGATGGAGAATTTTTGGTTTGGTTAGTGGTTTGCTGAGTACTTTTTTGATTTGGCTATTTGAGTTTAGATATAGGTTATGCCATTTTTTGGTGATTTTTTGCTTGTTTACGCTTTTAATTTCTGATTTTGAGATGGGTAAGTTTAAGCTTATTTCTGGGATTTTGAGGGATAGTTTGGCTGCCTTTTCGGCGTTTTCATTACCGTATATTCCTACGTGGGCGGGTATCCACAAGAAGGTTATTTGTTTGCCTGCCTTAGTTAGGTCGTTGGAGCTTTTAAGTATTTGATTTATTAATTTAGGTCGTTTTTTGGTGTTTTTGTTTTGGAGGGCTTGCAGTCCACTTAGGGTGTCGGTAAGTATTAGGATTTTTTTGGTGGTTTTTGGATTCTTGATTATAGAGGGCTGAGGCCATGCCCATTAGTTCTGCCGTGAATATTGATTAGTTGTTTGGGAGTCGGAAGGATCGTGTGGTTTTAGTTGGTTGTGTGGTATGGACTCCGAAACCTGTGTGTTTGGAGGTCGGATCTGAAGATCCGTCTGTGTAAATGTGACACCAATTTGGCCAATTTTCGTGTATGTATGCTAGTGTGGTGGTTTTAGCTATGTTTGGGTCGGTTTGATTATTTATTTGGCTAGCTAGTGTTGTGTCTATTTTTGGTATTTTAAGTTTAGGGGTGTTGGAATGAACTGAAAATTAACCTTCTTATATAGCATGATCTACAACCTGAACGTTGATCGTTAATCAGTAATTAATCAACAAATAAGAAAAGTCGCTCACCAATATTGCCAGTGAACACTTTTGACATTAATTGAGCGGGTGAACTCAGTTCAGTATTTGGTGACTTAATATGGCCCCAATGCTTGTATAAACATTGCTACTGTTAATCCCTGATGGCCTGGTGGCAAAGTGAGGATAAACCCATCTCTGCGCCGTAAATTAGGGAGCCCTATACGTTTAGTCCTATCCTCGTGGAGCGGGTAACTACAAAACACACAAAATCAACATCTGAATCAATCAATCTTTACTTCAATACTTAAATGCCACAGACCTATGGTACATTACAAATTGTCCAGTAGTGAGTGTCTTACATTATTAACAAACCTTTATCCAACAGATTTTCTAAAATTCATAGTGTGACATATATACATCGATAGGTGTGGCAAATGTTTAACATTTTCTGTTGACATGAGTACACAAATAGTTAATAAAATATTGCTAAACCCTTTAATATACTTACGTTGTAACTCCGAATATGAGGGCAAACTAAAACGAATTGGTATTCGTCTTCTACTTTGTTTAAGTTGCAACACTGACAAACTCTGTGTCAGTGAAAAATTCATGGGAGCTACAACAGAATCTTGCAAGTTGTCCTCTGAATTTAATAAGGCTTACATTTAATACATACTTTTCGGTTACAAAACAGTTCTTAAACCAAAAAAAACCACACACGTTAATTTGCAACACAATGAATGAGACGCATGCCAATTCTGAATGTACATGTCCTTCAAGGTTTGCGAGAAACAATGAAATAAATTTGGTGATATGCCATTTTGCTGATTTAACCATATTTCCATAACCACAAGAGTTTAGAACTTTTCTAACGTTAGTTACCCAATTACAACAACCCTGCGTAAAGTAGCATCATATTAGGACATTTCTTCGGGTACCTTCCATCATATCCAGATGATTTTCCATTCTTAAATGGTTAATACTCTCCGGGATTCAGATGTTATTGTCCTATCGATTACATCTCTTCATATTACATAAGCATCATTGTCTGCTTCTCCTGGATGCAATTAATCAAATTCAAAACATTCTTCTTCTTCTCCTGGTGTAGAAAAAAAGTTCTTTAAAAAGCTAATACCAATCCTTAATATTAAATTTATTTTGTTTGTGCCGTTTTTTCCCCAAGTCCTTTGTTGCCCAAAAGGTTTCGAATCTTTTAAAAAATGTCAGCATAATTCGTAATATTCTGACTCTTACGTCTACATATTTCATTATATTGATAACGAACACTGTGATAGTTTCCTAGTGAGGCCAAATGTTTCTTTCTCCTAAATGTATTTAAACATCTGCCTCTTTCTCTCTTTAAAACCTCACAGTCGATATTATACCATGGCTCTTTGTAGGTAGTATTGTCAGACCTTTTCTTCATATTCTCAGCAGCTGTACATCACGATTCACTAATGTATTGCACACTATCATTTATACCAGAAAATGCTGCATCTACTGCTTTTAAAAAACATTCTACTTCATCAACTGATGATGATTGTCCTATGAAGTTAGAACGCCTCCGTGGTCTAGTGGTAGAGCGTCCGCCCGGAGAGCGGAAGGTCCGGGGTTCGATCCCCGGCCGCGTCATACCAAAAGACGTTAAAAGATGGTACTTGTTGTTACCCTGTCTGGCGCTCGGCATTAAAGGGCTAAAACAAGGACTGGTCGGCTCGGAGTCAGTATACTGTGTCTGAGTGGGGTATTCATGTTAAACTGCGGCATGGTATCTCAGTGAGCTAGCACTATAAATCGGCATCAGTCCGGACTAGTACAAGCAGCCACACACACACATACACGTGCATGCACGTCGCTATATAAGTGCAATAATCTTGGACGCGACGTTAAACTCAATTTCACCTCACCTCTCTTTAAAACCTCACAGTCGATATTATACCGTGGCTCTTTGTAGTTAGTATTGTCAGACCTTTTCTTCATATTCTCAGCAGCTATACATCACGATTCACTAATGTATTGCACACTATCATTTATACCAGAAAATGCTGCATCTACTGCTTTTAAAAAACATTCAACTTCATCAACTGATGATGATTGTCCTATGAAGTTAGACCGCCTCCGTGGTCTAGTGGTAGAGCGTCCGCCCGGAGAGCGGAAGGTCCGGGGTTCGATCCCCGGCCGCGTCATACCAAAAGACGTTAACAGATGGTACTTGTTGTTACCCTGTCTGTCGCTCGGCAAGGGCTGGTCAGCTCGGAGTCAGTATACTGTGTCTGAGTGGGGTATCCATGTTAAACTGCGGCATGATATCTCAGTGTGCTAGCACTATAAATCGGCATCAGTCCGGACTAGTACAAGCAGCCACACACACACATACACGTGCATGCACGTCGCTATATAAGCGCAATAATCTTGGACGCGACGTTAAACCCAATTTCACCTCACCTCACCTATGAAGTTATCATATCTCATCTTGTTTTCATACAAATTGAATGAAGCATTCGTATATGTGTTGCACGTCTCATATGTTGCACATGCTGTGCTGAGATACATCGAGACAGGGAGATGCGGAGATTCGGAGCTTGACTTAATGTCAAAATATTCCAAATGTCAAACAGGTCAGATGAACAGATTGCATAGTCTACCACGCTCGCTTTCTGGGTGCCAATATAAGTGTAATCTCCAAACTTAGAATCTGTACCGGGGCGGTCGGGTAGCCTAGTGGTTAAAGCGTTCGCACGTCACGCCGAAGCCCCGGGTTCGAGTCCCGACATGGGTACAATGTGTGAAGCCCATTTCTGGTGTCCCCCGCCGTGATATTGCTGGAATATTGCTAAAAGCGGCGTAAAACCATACTCACTAACTCACTCGAATCTGTACCCCACTTCCATTCTTGATATAAATGCTAAAATACTGCTCATTTCCAACAAGCGTTTACCAAACCTGTTTACCAATCTGTCCACAGAGAAGCGGTTTCATGTAAAGTTATCTAGCAAAAAAACAAACCCAAAACATTATTAGAATTATCATGACGCTCTAGAACCTCTACCTGTTCTTAACCTAAAATCCCCTCCCAACAAAATATATACATCCTCACATTTACTCAGATAGTCTTGCAATAATAACATCCCATTTTTACACTGACGTGGTGGATCATTATAACAAGTCGAACATTCAGGGTGATTTTAAACAAAAGAGTATCAAATATCTTTTTGTGATCCAGACACCTCTTTATCGAACGGTAAGAAAATCCAGCTTTCACACATTTCTGTCCATTTTATATAAATAGAAAGTTTTTTTTGTCTAATCAAAACTATCACACCACCTGACAGTCTTCCGAACTGTGAGGTGAGGTGAGGTGAAATTGGGTTTAACGTCGCGTCCAAGATTATTGCACTTATATAGCGACGTGCATGCACGTGTGTGTGTGTATGGCTGTTCGTACTAGTCCGGACTGATGCCGATTTATAGTGCTAGCTCACTGAGATACCATGCCGCAGTTTAACAAGAATACCCCACTCAGACACAATATACTGACTCCGAGCCGACCAGTCCTTGTTTTAGCCCCTTAATGCCGAGCGCCAGACAGGGTAACAACAAGTACAATCTTTTAACGTCTTTTTGTATGACGCGGCCCGGGGTCGAACCCTGGACCTTCCGCTCTCCGGGCGGACGCTCTACCACTAGACCACGGAGGCGGTCTCTTCCGAACTGTGATATTCATTCACCATATTTCAAGAATACATCAAATTCAGTGAAAACAGTATTTCAATCTGTTTTGGGTAACCATGTTTCAGTTAAACCAGTGATATCAAATGCGGTAACAAAATTCGAAAACTAAAATCATCTAGTTAGGAGACACATTCCTGAAACTAAACCTAATGTTGTCAGTATGGTTTCCAACACTTGTGTGAGGTAAAGTTTCTTTAGGAACAGTGTCAGTAGTATTTCTTACACTTTGGAGGGGGCGAAATGTTATCTGTATTTTCAACTGAGTGAAGTTTCCTATAATCATAGACATTTCCCTTTTTATTGGCTGTTATTTCTTTAGCCTGGAAGCTTGGGGCACATTTGACTACACGAAGGGGTGCCTGCTGATGCCGCTCGAGTCGATGACTGTCTACAGTGTCTCTACCCTGCTGGTCCCACTCAAATCGATGACTGTCTACAGTGTCTCTACCCGACTGGTCCCGCTCAAATCGATGACTGTCTACAGTGTCTCTACCCTGCTGGTCCCACTGTCGATAACTGTCTACAGTGTCTGTACCCTGCTGGCCCCGCTTACGTCGATGACTGTCTACAGTGTCCGTACCCTGCTGGTCCCACTCACGTCGATGACTGTCTACAGTGTCCGTACCCTGCTGGTCCCACTCACGTCGATGACTGTCTACAGTGTCTGTACCCTGCTGGTCCCGCTTACGTCGATGACTGTCTACAGTGTCTCTACCCTGCTGATCCCGCTGACGTCGATGACTGTCTACAGTGTCTCTACCCTGCTGATCCCGCTGACGTCGATGACTGTCTACAGTGTCTCTACCCTGCTGGTCCCACTGTCGATAACTGTCTATAGTGTCTCTACCTGACTGGTCCCGCTCAAATCGATGACTGTCTACAGTGTCTCTACCCTGCTGGTCCCGCTTACGTCGATGACTGTCTACAGTGTCTCTACCCTGCTGGTCCCGCTGAAGTCGATGACTGTCTATAGTGTCTCTACCTGACTGGTCCCACTGACGTCGATGACTGTCTACAGTGTCTCTACCCTGCTGATCCCGCTGACGTCGATGACTGTCTATAGTGTCTCTACCTGACTGGTCCCACTGACGCCGATGACTGTCTACAGTGTCTGTACCCTGCTGGACCCTCTCATGTTGATGACTGTCTACAGTGTCTGTACCCTGCTGGTCCCGCTCACGTCGATGACTGTCTATAGTGTCTCTACCTGACTGGTCCCACTGACGTCGATGACTGTCTACAGTGTCTCTACCCTGCTGGACCCGCTGACGCCGATGACTGTCTACAGTGTCTCTACCCTGCTGGACCCTCTCATGTTGATGACTGTCTACAGTGTCTCTACCTTGCTGGTCCCGCGCACGTTGATGACTGTCTACAGTGTCTCTACCCTGCTGGTCCCGCTGACGTCGATGACTGTCTACAGTGTCTCTACCTGACTGGTCCCACTCACGTCGATGACTGTCTACAGTGTCTCTACCCTGCTGGTCCCGCTTACGTCGATGACTGTCTACAGTGTCTCTACCCTGCTGATCCCGCTGACGTCGATGACTGTCTACAGTGTCTCTACCCTGCTGATCCCGCTGACGTCGATGACTGTCTACAGTGTCTCTGCCCTGCTGGTCCCACTGTCGATAACTGTCTATAGTGTCTCTACCTGACTGGTCCCGCTCAAATCGATGACTGTCTACAGTGTCTCTACCTGACTGGTCCCGCTCACGTCGATGACTGTCTACAGTGTCTGTCCCCTGCTGGACCCTCTCATGTTGATGACTGTCTACAGTGTCTCTACCCTGCTGGACCCGCTGACGCCGATGACTGTCTACAGTGTCTGTACCCTGCTGGTCCCGCTCATGTTGATGACTGTCTACAGTGTCTGTACCCTGCTGGTCCCGCTCATGTTGATGACTGTCTACAGTGTCTGTACCCTGCTGGTCCCGCTCATGTTGATGACTGTCTACAGTGTCTCTACCCTGCTGATCCCGCTCACGTCGATGACTGTCTACAGTGTCTCTACCTTGCTGATCTCGCTGACGTCGATGACTGTCTACAGTGTCTGTACCATGCTGATCCCGCTGACGTCGATGACTGTCTACAGTGTCTGTACCCTGCTGATCCCGCTGACGTCGATGACTGTCTACAGTGTCTCTACCCTGCTGATCCCGCTGACGTCGATGACTGTCTACAGTGTCCGTACCCTGCTGATCCCGCTAACGTCGATGACTGTCTACAGTGTCTCTACCTTGCTGGTCCCGCTGACGTCGATGACTGTCTACAGTGTCTCTACCTTGCTGATCCCGCTGACGTCGATGACTGTCTACAGTGTCTGTACCCTGCTGATCCCGCTGACGTCGATGACTGTCTACAGTGTCTCTACCCTGCTGATCCCGCTGACGTCGATGACTGTCTACAGTGTCTGTACCCTGCTGGTCCCGCTCACGTCGATGACCGTCTACAGTGTCCGTACCCTGCTGGACCCGCTGACGTTGATGACCGTCTACAGTGTGTCTACCCTGCTGGTCCCGCTCACGCCGATGACTGTCTACAGTGTCTCTACCCTGCTGGCCCCGCTCACGTCGATGACTGTCTGTTTTCTTACTTAGAATTTCGTACTGAAAAATTTGTTCATTGTATAACTAGAAAACTACTTCATGGATTCTTTTCAAATTTAGGGAACAGTTTCCAAACTGATAGAAAGATTGAATTTGATATGTGTATTTCCTGAAACAATATGATGTTTTTGATGTCGTGAACTTAGATGTATTTTTTAAATTTAATATTTCTGCGACCTATAACTGGAACACTACTGCATGGATTTCTTTCTATTTGGATCAAACGTCAACTTCCCATCTTACCCCTATCTTGTCCTTCAAGATAGTTGGCGGTCATAACATCTACTGTTAGAATTAGAATTATACTTCCCTATCGGTGTACTCTGTTTCCAATAGGGGGCACGGGTGGCCCAGTCGTCTAAGGCGCCGCGATTCGCTGTGCAGAGTTGCGTCCCTTGGGCACCGCAGAAACCTATGATTGTGGGTTCGAATCCCGGTTTGCCCCGATTAGGTTTCTAGGTTTGTCAGCTCCATACCCGTGCTCGTGGGTTTCACCGAAGTGGTAAACGTCTGAGACCTGCATCACTTCGGGCTTTCCTCCCACATTAAGCTGACAGGCCGTGATATAACTGTAATACTGTTAAAAGCGGCGTTAAACCCAGATATTATTTAAGATATTTCTGAGTATCCCGTTCTTTCTTGAAGAGTATAATGACGCACATTAATGATTGACAAAATGCATGTTGTGGATATGCGTAAACAACTTCATATCAATGTAATGGACATGTGTAAAAAAGAATATATCACTGTAATTGACTTGTGTAAACAAATATGTATTACTGTTATGTACATGTTTCAAGAAATATATATTACTAAAGTGAAAACGTGTCAACAAATTTATATCACTGTAATGGACATGTGTAAACAAATTAATATCCCTGTAATGGACATGTGTAAACAAATATATATTTCTGTAATGGACATGTGTAAACAAATATAAAGCACTGTAGTCTGAAGTGTCTTAAGTGTAAAAAGTCCTGCTTCAGTAGCAGAGCCATAAGCGATGTCATTTGAAGTCTTGGTAACCAATGACGTCACAATAGTCTGCAAAGCATTTTGATGCACTTTTATTGTAGTGATACGTACAATGTAGATATGACTTGATTTCACCCAAGCGTATCTCCTGTGGGAGCCAGTTTTGGACGATAAACAAATTTATATCACTGTAAAGGACACCGTCACATAACCGTCATCTTGGAAACAAAATTACCACACCAATTACCACAACTGTTAACTGCCAGGCAAAAAGAAAGAATACTCTTGAAAATTGGATTGCTAAAACAATTATTGAACGTCCCTTTACTGAAAACATTCGCCGAAACGTTGCGAACTTAAGCACCAAAACACAACACGTTGGTTTGAAAGATGCATGGGCAGCAGGGAAACATCTCTAAACACCTTTATGTCGGGTACACTCCTGAAAGGTTCATGTACAGTAATGTCATAAAATGCAATGGATCGTTACAAAACATCCCAGGTAATGAAAAAGCATAACAGATGCGCCACGTTTAACTGCGCAACAGAGAGAGGGTCATATGAATGAGGCAAATTGGTGCCAACCACACCAAGATTGCAAGACACTTCAATGTGTCACTGGCAACAGTGGCCAGACTGGCAGTACACAGGACAGGACAAGATCAGGCAGATCACGTGTGACGACGCCACTTTGCATGTTCGCAACAAGTTCATAACAGCGACGAAAATGACAGCAACAGCATCAGTGGACACACTGTGCTACAACGTCTCTGTCGCAGATACTCAAACCTACCGCCCCTTCCATGGAATGGCACTGACCCATGAACATGAATATCCCCATCATTGCTATCAGGATAAAAGCTCGATGCATAATGTTTGGAAAATAATTAATTGTTAGGAAAATAGTACTATTTAATGTAAGCACTGTTGAGGAAGTTACTATATTTAGATGCTAGTGTGGCATGGAAGCTTCTGATACGGCGGTGTGTTGAGCCTTCCAGAAGCTAGTTATACTATATATATTTCATCTCACTTTTCGTCTGACATTACATCAAGACCATCTTTTGTGAGAAGATAACATTTCACCCTGGATTCCTAGCCTAGGCCTATCTGTGAAGCTTGACTACTGCAAGGTGAATATTATCCTTGTCATCATTGCTTCATCTAGGTAATTATCATTGCTTCATCTAGGTAATTATCATTGCTTCATCTAGGTAATTATCATTGCTTCATCTAGGTAATAATATTTAGTACTGACCACTGCTATGATACTGTACTTGAATATTGTACTACCACGCTATTGTGTTCTGCCATTGTAATTGATTTGTTTTTTGTTTGTTGTTTCACACTAAATTATTTTACGTACAGATTTTGGGGTTCATGTATTGTTTCAATTTTGACGTCGACACGGAACAATACTTTCTTTTGCCCAGCAGTTTACATGTACATAACTTTAAGTAATCCAATATCACACATAATATTCCAAGAATATTCAACTAAAACGAAAGTAGTTCTCATAAGATGACATCATTGTACCTCTTAGCATAAGGTTGGTATCTCACAGTCTCACATTAGATTTTCAAAATCTCAAAATGGTCTCCCACTGATCGTATTGGTATGTCAATTTTTACAGAGTGAGTGAGTGAGTGAGTGAGTGAGTGAGTGAGTGTGGTTTTACGCCGCTTTTAGCAATATTCCAGCAATATCACGGCGGGGGACACCTGAAATGGGCTTCACACATTGTACCCATGTCGGGAATCGAACCCGGGTCTTCGGCGTGACGAGCGAACGCTTTAACCATTAGGCTACCCTACCGCCCCCAATTTTTACAGAGGTATCTCACAGACGCTTGCACGCATACTGTCACAATCCCTGTCGGAAAATCCAAATTTTGACAGTGCTACGCAGTTCTCATCGCCAGTGGCGTTGTCAGGTTGACTAGGCGCCCACTTCCAGGTATAGGTGGAACCGTCCTTCCAGGTAAATACGTTGTTGACACGCTGCATTCCAACAAACACAACGTTTGAGACATCAGCTGCCAAGGTAAAACTCAAATAACACATGGGTCACTCATGTCACCTACCAAACACGTAAACAAGACTGCTTCTCACATAAGAAAGTCTTTGATAAAGAGGAACTTGATTCTGTAATGAGGATTATCTCTAACGGTTTAGAGGCACTGTGGGAAAGCGCTTGTCTAGAATGCTACACAATGTTAATGCTAATCGTAAGAGGCGACTAATGGGTTTGGATGGCCAGACATCTGAATTATTGTGGCAAGCACAACAAGCACACACACACACACACAACAAGCACACACACACACGCACGCACGCACGCACGCATGCAGGCACGCACACCTATACGCAAAAACAACCATAAAAACCCAAACAAATACAAAGATCCTTCACATATACAAGATATTTACCGTCCTTAACAACACTCGTACTCCTTCCAAGCCATTAATGTGGTTTTTATTTTACTACAGCCTGACACTATGTACCAGAGGACCCAATTTACTGACCTTGACCGCGGAATGAGGTCATGAACTTCTGTTTGTCCCGACTGTTGAGGACGACAAGGCGACCACCATCAGCCTGACATAGATCATCTTGATGAGTCCAGTTGTTGGCGCTTGATATGTACTTGTAACACAGCCGTGGAGACAACACGGACGTGTAGCCCTCAGATACAGGACAGAGGTCTGGATCAGGAATCGCTGTAAGTGAATAGCATCACTTTTGTACCATGTGAATGTTTTGTAATAAAACATGTTGGATCTTTGTTGGTGATACACTGGCCATTGACACACAATTCTGTACACTGTCTTGAATGGTTTATTTTAAACTTCAGCATAGATTGATTCATACATTCTTGATTCCTACATTCGTGATTCAGTCTTGAAATATTGTGACCGATGTTTTGTATTATGTATTATGTATTTCCTTCAAATTCTTTTACTGGCCCTTTAATTGTAAGGCTTATTGTTGACAGGTACAAGAAAATTTATGGGCCCTTTTCACCCTATACAAGTTCATTTCATATTCTGTTACCATCCACGTGCTTGGCCTTGCATTGACTAAACCCGGATGATTAACCAGGACAGCACTCATAAAAGAACTAAAGTGACTTACCCTCACAAGTGGTAGCCTACAATTTTGGCTAACAGTTTCTAGAGGGTGTTTAAGTATTTCAGTTACATGACTGTGATGAAATGATGAAATGACGTTCAGTCGAGCGTTTGAAGGTTTGACGCTTCATATAAAGTTCATATGAAGTCCAATAAAAAATATTTATTCTGAGATAATTAATGCATATTTTCTTGAAGAAATCTCGTCGAATTTAAGGTCGTGATTTACAATTTGCACGTCCAAGGTAATGAACGACGCACACTTTGGATGTTTGTTGAGAACATAATACGGACACATGGGTTTTGACTGTGAAGAGTGAGTGAGTGAGTATGGTTTTACGCCGCTTTTAGCAATATTCCAGCAATATCACGGCGGGGGACACCAGAAATGGGCTTCACACATTGTACCCATGTCGGGATTCGAACCCGGGTGACTGTGAAGAGCACACAATGACTGTCTACCTAGTGCTCATATAAAACAGCTTCGTTTAACCGGAAATAAAAGGTTAACAGGTTTTACAATCGTTTACGCGCCATGGGTATGCTACAGACAAGATTGGCACAAAAACCGAGTTGCCAGACATTTTTTATCTTCATCGAAATACAGTATCATCTCTCGGGAGCGCACTACTCATGACTTGCCGCCGCCGGTCGTCCACGTTTGACTTCATGTGAACATGGTGACCACGGAATCTGCGGAATCTACATGTCCGTTTATGAATTTGTAAATGACTTAATAGCTAGCACTTTTATTATGGTACCGTGTTAATATGGGTAGAAGTTTCGTGGAAAATATATTGAACACATTATTGACATATGATCCGTCAATGTAAGTACAATCCATCTAGTGTCTAAGGCACACTCTGGTAATAAAAGCAACGTATATTTGGGTTGCGTCCAGTTTGTTGACATGGAAACACACACACATAATTTAATTTTTTTTTACCAAAACATATACTTGTAGCATTTGAGTTTCATCCATATGCAAAAATACTTAATAAAAAATTAAACATTTTCCAAGCTATGATCCGGAATCGCAACGTGACGGGCGGACGGACAACCCCCATTCCTGTGTACCCCTTCCATATCAAGATCAACAATTTGAAGGAAAAGTGGATGTCAACATGACCGATTTTTGATAGCCCAAAGTCCCGAAAGAGAATGAAAATATTAAGTACTTTTTGTGCTTAGATTATTTAACACTATAGATCTTTTTAATCCGCATCCCTGCTGTTCATATGGCTTCACTACTCGCGTGCTTCATTACCTATGTGTTATCTGTTATCATTACTGCTTCATCCAATTATATGCATGCTACTAACACATTTATAACGTCGAGATTAGGGATCAAGGAAGCGAAAGTTTGACGATTTTCGGCAAATATAAGAATTCATAACATCCACTTACCTATTTCTTTGTTATTTCTATTGTTTACGTAATCGGTAAAAAATATTAAAAATAAAATTATAAATAATATCTGTTATCATTCATTTCCCTATAACAGCGGCTGACCGCTCAGTAAAATGAAGAAATACGTCCGTTTTCGAAGCTTCGTATGAGTATTACGTACGTCGAAGACTGCCATGTGAGACCCCCTTAGAAAGCCTATATGGTCATCTTTACGATAGTAACCTCGCCTAAAGTCTTTTCGTAGTTGTGACATGCGATTTTATTGGATACAAATTGGTTTCTTATGACGCTTTCTTTCTGAATTTGCTTCAAGGTTTGTTATTTGTCAAATTTGAGCTAGGCCACCAAAGCTAGGCCACCTCGCTGGGTATCATGGGGACTTGAAAGAGTTAAAGTATTTCCCTAAATTTCATCAATACAAATTTACCTTCATGTATGTTCATTTTCAAAAAAAGTCTTGTGATTACTTGGTAATCCTCAAAAATAATATGCACAAGCTGGCAGCAATGGTTGAATCAAAACCACAACTGCATCCCAAGTATAAAAGTTCAATGAGTAAAATTTCGAATTCGTATGATCTCACCTCCTGCCTTGATGAAGTGTCTAGCTCCAGGGAGAGATTTCCCGTAGGATGTGAGAGTAGATCTGTACATGCTGCAATTGCCATCAAAGTAGGTGAAAGCAGTACAGAGACCCTCCTTTGCACAAAGAGCAGCACATACCCTTTTATCTGGAGACGCCTGTGTGCTTGAGGGAAGTTCCCTTGCTTTTTGACTGTCCAACGTCACCTGTCTGTCAAAACGATTCTTGGAACAGCCGCTAGTTGCATACAGAAATGGGATGAAGACAGTGAACAGGCACAACACAGCGTTCATCTTGCTTCAGTCTGTGGCAGCTCTGTACTATGTATTCGTGAAATGTTAATGCAAAGATCCCTGACATCATGGGCTTGTTGTGGCTTGTTGCCAGGATATTGTCAGTCTGTTAAACATCGCTTGTTTGTTTGTTGGTTTGCTGTTTAACACTGCTCTCAGCAATATTCCATCCAATGACGGCGGTCTGTAATTAATCGATTCTTGACCAAACAATCCAGTGATTGACATCATGAGCATCGATCTACGCATTTGTGATACGATTACATTCATCAAGCCAGAGAGCCCTAAAACCTAGTGCTTGTTTTTCCTTCTGTGAAGTTTGTCAGGATCCATGATGGAAGCAGGGCAAACAGTCCGTTTGGCTCCAAATGAGAACGATGAATTGCAAAATAACTCAAACTAGGGAATAGTCTACTAGGGAATGAAAACCCTGTATCGAACAAAATCTACTGTTATTTTGTTTTTGTCCAATTACTGGAAAAGGTTGTTTAAGAAACTATCATGTTGAAATCTTGCACGAAGGGGGGCACAACGGTTTGAGCAACAGAAACAGGCACTGCACGTGCTACATAGTGCACATCGTGGTTGGACCCGTGAAGATCCGGGTTAGAATAGGTTTTCAGTAACCCATGCTTGTCGTAAAAGGCGACTATCGTTGTCATGGTCAGACTCGCTGACTTGGTTGATGCATGTCATCGATCCCAATTGCGTGGATCGATGCTCATGATATTAATCACGGGATTGTCTGGTCCAGATTAGATTATTTACAGACCGCCGTCATATAGCTGGAATATTGCTGATTGCGGCGTTAAACAACCAACCAACCTTCGTCCTGGTTGACTGACAAGATACTGACAAGATTTTTAAGGTGTATGATTTCGTTCAATAAATACTTTAAACGGGCTTCTGAAGCTCCTTGCATGTCTCCTGACAAGCTGAAAAATGCTGTCCGTTGACGGGCAATCAGCAGGTGGGGAACACATCAAAGCCATGTTGATAAATAAGACCGTTTTCGGACATGCAAATATCTAAACTGCATTCAGAAAATAAGTTTATGTCACTAAGACTCTTGAAGAAATACCTTGAAACTGAACATGACACTCGCCCTCCTTCGTGCAAGATGTCAACTTGTATACATAATAACATGATAGTGGGTTAAATAACGTTTTCCAGTGGTGGGAGTAAAAGAACCAAATAGCAGATATTGTTGGGTACAGGGTATTTATTGTCGGTACCGCACTGACATTTAATAGACTATTTCCGATTTTGAGTTATTTGGCAATTCATCGTTTTCAGTTGGAGCCAAATGGACTGTGCCAAGGTGGTTCGACAGACGTTAACAATTCATGTTGATTATACTGACGGTTCTGTAGTGCTAGACGGTACAGAAGTGGATGTTAACCAAACAAGGTCTTATTTAAAGACCGTTCAGAGTAGTTTCTTTACGGTTGTGCTTTCTGAGAAACCACTGCATCCTATGTACATGCACTATGTTGAACAGTATTAGCAACATAACTGACTCCCTTGCTTAGATGCATGTGCCAGAGTCACCAGACCTCTCTTTGCTGCATTGTATATATGCTGCATATTTGTAAATAATAACAATACGAATAAGAATATGTTGATTTTGTTGATGGTTCTGTACTGCTGGACGGTACAGTAATGGGTGTCAACCAAGCAAAGTGCCATATCAAATCGGCCTAGACCCAGTTTTTCAAGGAGAGGCTATCTGAACGACCACTGCATCGAGTTTATTGCAGTGTGTTGAGAACATCAGCAACCCTGCAGAGTCCATCGCTTGGATGACGTCGACTGGCCTGAAAAGTGAAACAGGGGGCTTTCTGTTTGCTGCTCAGGACCAGTCACTTCCCGTTCGAAACCGTCAATGTGTGATTTTGCATCAAAGTGTAAATATGAAATGTAAATTATGCAATGAATCTAATTAGACTGTCCAACACACTGGATGCCCACCTTTGGCACAAACCAAAACAAAATATACAATACCAAAATTCTACCAGAAATACAGCTCCCCCCCTCCCCCGACAATCTTTGTAATGCAGAAGGCTGCAGTGTTGGGGAGTCGTCACATTCACCGAAAATGTCTGGCTGTGTTCGACTAGACAGCGCTTCCTGGGAGAAGTCCCATTCGCTGTCTGGGCTGCGTGCAGAGGGGGCAAGGGCCCTGAGCTGATAATGGACCTAACCAGCCTGACTGCCAGGATCACCCAAACCGTCTTTATTGCATCTATTTTTTTTAATACGTCTAAATAATACATCCGACGATTACAACAGTAGGCAGTCAGCCACTTTGCCCCCAAAAGATTGGTAAGACAGTAACCACAATACATGGCAAATGGGATGGCTTCATCTTTTCACTTGTCACATTTAATTTTGTGTCCAGTAATATTGCCGTAGCCTATTGTGCTTACATTTCACAACTTTTGCCCTTTGCAAAATTTGCCCCATTTGTGACAAACATGATGCTAATTATCTATTTTGACGTGTAACATATGTTTTTGTACTTTTTTACCTTTGTGATTGCTTGCGAAAGCTTGGCATCAACACCCTTTGATAGTGATTCATAAACACATGCACAAACAGTCGGAATCGTATATTTAACAGAGATGTCCTATGAATGTAGATACAAAAACGTTCTGTTGCTTATATTTAAGTATTTTGCTTTGGCAGCCGGGTCCTTCGGTACATCAAATCTACCATGTTTCTATAACTCGACTCTTTCAAAGAATCAGTCTTCTTTAGGGGGATGGTTGGTTGAAAATGTTAAGAATCGTGAGGGGGATATATTTTATTTAAATTGGCTTGACTCAAGTATTTATTCCCGTTCACAATGCGACACGTATCCCTAAACAACATGAATAGTACCAAATGCCACACATCAACAAACCCTTCATATATAATGCATCAAAGAATGACCAAAGTCCCCTCAGGCATTCTCCACTAATCGATAGAAATGAGAAACAAAATATTATTGATCCACACGCAGTACAAAGCTAAAATACAACACAGAGCATGACGAGCCGATCATGGTCGAGAAAAAGGTGCAGAAAATTATCAGAGCTGGAAATTGCGGTGCCCTAAATCGTTAATTCGTGTAGCCTTCGAGTGGGAACAACTAAATACTGTAAAACAGGAAATTAATGCGACATGAAAATAATGCGAGGTCTTGATTTTAGACATAAATGCGCATTTTAAAAAATGCGAGTGCCCATACCCTTTCCTAATAATGTATGCGCTGGATTTATGTCCTGTGTTATTTTAATATTTTTATTAATGTAACCTACGTAAAGAAAAGCCTTACCTGAAAACGCTTCGTTTGTTTCAAATGACGTTTTGAGCAGGAACTGTGAGTAGTCAGAGATAAATAAAATAACTGTGCACATTAAATCCCCTGTCCATGTTTTTTCAGTGTGAGATTCCTTCCTTATTTTAATATTATTAAAGCTGATTGCCCGTATGTTTGATGGCCAAGCGTGAGAATGGTTTCCTTGCAGCTATCATTGTGTTAGTGTTGTTTTAGATGACAGTCTGCTTGTACTAGTATATACGTTCGGCCCTTTGATGAAAAGAAGTAGAAAACAGATCAGTGTATCAAATCTTCGATCAGGTGACAATCCTCACACTCCTGTTGACCTGCGGATTAGTGTCATGAAACCCATTCATGCGCGTTGGCTCGTGTCTGCTCTTGACAAGCTTGTAAAGGACACTGATGGGATAAAAATCAACACCCGATTGATATGGATTAAATGTAATTAATTACTGTTTTACGTTTACATTACCCTAATAAATTATTCGCGGTTAAAATTGACGATACCACACTATGAACACGTTTGTTGTCAACGCTTGTTTCCAGCTCAAGTCATATCCGTCGGCGAATATAAACTTTTCACATTTTCATCTACTCCAAAATGGCGTGACGGATTCAGATGAAAATGGATCTGGATATTATGACCAGAAGGGGGTTCATGTTTGTTGAAGGCATCACTATTGGAAATGAATTATGGCGGCCAGGTCATCATACTTGGAGTTTTAAGACACTTAGAAATCTTCTTCTTTAAATATTTGGCTCCAGAGACTTGAAAACTTGGTGGATGATGTGGTCACTTTATGTCGCTTAAAGTAATAGGTTTGGTCAAGGAGTCTTAAAGAAAAAGGTCTGTCAGTGACCATACAGGAGACCCGTGAAGATTCCTGGGTAGAATAGGTCTTCAGCGACCCATGCTTGCCATAAAGGGCGACTATGCTTGTCGTAAAAGGCGACTAACGGGATCGGGTGGTCAGGCTCGCTGACTTGGTTGATGCATGTCATCGTATCCCAATTGCGTGGATCGATGCTCATGATATTAATCACGGGATTGTCTGGTCCAGACTAGATTATTTACAGACCGCCGTCATATAGCTGGAATATTGCTGAGTGCGGCGTTAAACAACAAACCAACCAACCATACAGGAACATTCAAAACAATCGTGAGTCTTTAGACATGTACTCACAGAAACAACAGAGCACCCACGTTCCGTTTATCACGATATTTTGACTTTGGATGTTTTTGTACATTTTTGCATTCACTGAATTCTCTCAAAATGCATTTCCTCGACCAAACACCATCCCCCAAGAAACCACTGAACCAAAGAACCTGAAACTTCTAATGCTTGTTCCCGCCAATGATGATAACTAAATGTATTCAAGAGGTTCGAATCTAAGTTTCAAAATGCCACAGAGAGTCACTGTGAAAACGCCTTTTATGGCAGTTACTGAGTCATGTTTGTTCAAAATGCAATGACACTGGGTACACGTGTACTTTGTAATTGAGCTCAACACTTATGTTCCGTTTTTTGTTGTTTCGATATGTAAACTTTGTACTATTGTTTACATTTGCACTTTGGAATCATACTCCTAAATTCTCCCACAGACAGATAGACAAATTATTTATCATAGGCTCACCCCGATGTACACCGAGATTACAGCATTAACATCGCACCTT